TTATAGGCGATTATTTACCGGTTAACTTAACGGAATCAAGGGCGATAGACACTAGAGATGTTTACTCGATGAACGCAGCTGACTCTCTCCTCTTCGACAGTTTATGAAGTGGAGAACCCGGTTTTGCATATAAACAGCGCACTGTCCATACCGCCGGAAATTATGAGAACAATTTATACCTCATTATTTATAATTATAACTAATTATAATTGATTCATATATATAATTAATTTATACCGCCGGAAACTATGAGTCTTTACAAATTACAATAGCTAAGCCAAGCATGACCTCCTCAACACGGCTCATTCGGAATTCGTTCCCAAGCAATGTTCCTATGTAACGTAATTAATTTTACCGTAGCAATGATAGGAACTTGTAATGTTTCAGCTTAATAAATAGGGCCAAATAGCCATCTATAGAGTTTATATAGATAAGGGACAGACATTAAATGGCGAACGGGACGATGATAACGATGCACTTAATAAAGATTTCGAATTTGGATTGTTCAGACTGCTGGAAAATTTGTACTTCTTCTTTTAAAGGGTTGAGTTGTTGAAGGCCTTATTAGATGCCTGTTCACCAATCATGGTGATACGTCGTATTAAGCAACGTGCGTGGTGGGTTCCAAATACGAGTTTGGTGATAGCAGTCCGGGTTGTACTTGGTGGCTAGGTTAGATCAGTGAGCGTCCAGGCGACTGAGGCGAGACTTGAATGAGTTGACACTAGGGGCGGAAACTACCAGCTCAGGAAGGCTATTCCACACGTTCACCACTCTGACGGAAAAGAAATTCAAGCGTACCTGGCGACTGCACTGCTCTTTAACAAGCTTCAAACTATGGCCTCTGGTTCTGTCACTGGTGGATAGCTTGAAGAGTGATTCGGTGTTGTATACTCCGTGGACGTATTTGTAACAGTCTATGAGATCGCCTCTTTTTCTTCTGTGTTCGAGACTTAACAGGTGCAGAGCGGCTAGCCGAGCCGGGTAGTCTAGGTTGCTAAGTGATGCCAGTAGCTTGGTCGCCCTTCTTTGAACATCTTCGACCTCCGCACAGAGTGTTTTGTTGTATGGCATATGGCTGTCACACAGAGTGACCGTATTCCAACAGTGGGCGTACAAGCGCCTTATATGTATATCTGAACAAATACAGGTTCTGTGAGGCAGTCGAAGCTACGACGGATGATACCGACAACTCTGTTGGCTATGGATGGCATTTGGGCAACATGGTTTCTGAAGCACAGGTTGTTGTCTACTAGAACTCCAAGATCACTTTCAACCTCTGAGTTTGCAAGTATGTTCTGTTCATGCGATACGATGCCTCACACTTCTTTATTTGTACCAACTTTCAGAACACTACACTCTTCCGGATGGAAACGCAGCAGCCACCGATCAGACAACGTCAGCAGTCTATTGATATCTTCTCGAAGCACCACCGTGGCGGATTCACTCCACTTCTTGTGGATACTTTTGCATCGTCCGCGAACAAACGCATGTCACTCTGAATGCATCCAGGCAAATCGTTAATGTACAACACGAAGAGCACTGGTCTTAAGACCGATCTTTGAGGGATACCACTGATGACAGATGCCTGGCCTGAATGTGAGCCGTTCACTACCACACGCTGAGTACGATTTGTCAAAAAGTTGCTGATCCACCCATGCACCTTGCCACCGATTCCTTAGGCCTTTACCTTACTGAGCAGACGTTGATACATAACATAACATAGTGATGTCGGCGCTGAAGTGTAGGCCTGATGTGGCCTGTCGCCGATTCCTTTCCTTTTCGTGCCTTGTTCATAGATCTAAAGTCTGTCTCTTATACACATCTAGATGTGTATAAGAGACAGCANGGGCCAGTCCCCTACCCTCACTGTCTAAGTTGTGAAATAGGTCACACCCTCCTTTGGCGATTTCACACTCCTGTACAGAAGGTCTACGGTTTTTGGGTTTGACCTCAGTAATGCCTATTACAGTTGGGTCATACTAGTCAACAAGAGCTTTAAGCTCAACGCTTATTGAGTAAGCTGTCGACGTTGGTGTATATATAGGTACACGACTTCCTGCCATGAACAAATGTGTGAACAACATTTGAAGAACTGTCTTTTGTACAGCTATTTACACTTTTCTTTGCAGTATTTTTTTTCTTGCCGTTTCGCCTACTCCTTTTCTCGTGGGTACTGACCCACGTTTATTACTTTGCCGTTCCTGCGGATCCATCGCGCGCGCTCGTCCCCCGACGCTTGGGACCGGGGCCGGGTCACCGGGCCTTCTTGGACTTGAGTTCCTTTAAAAGTCTGTCTTCTTCCGCCCTGTCTTGGAGGGTCAGGTCCTGCGTAGGATGATCTTATAGCAGAGTTTGTCGCCGTCGTCAGCGGCTGCTTGTAACTTCTTAATCTTATGATACGCCTTCAACACATCATCTCTCACAGCCTCCGAACAGAAGGTGAGGCGAACCGGTCGTCGTTTCTGATCTTGTTTTGCCACAGCTTCGGTGAACTTGCCGATTCTACGATGGTCGAGGGGTCGGTGGTCAACCTTGATTTCCGCCAAGAGTCTGTTGATCTGTTCGTTGTCTTCCTTCTCTCTGCTCTCACGGTCTGGGTTCTTTTTCTTGGCAAGTTGAAACAGAATCGAGTTATTTTTACGTTTCACTCTCTCTTCCAGCTCTACTAACTGCTTCCTTTGTCTTTCAACTACCTCGCTGTACAATTCTTGGGTTTTGTTGACTATCAAATTTTCTACTTCCATCAGGGAGGTGCCTGCTGGGTTGGCAGCAGCCTGGTCGCGGGTGATTTCTTTCTCTGCATCCGCCATCTCAGGTATTCCTCTTTTCGATTTCGGCTACGCTGCCGTCCACTTGCCCAACATGTTCTGTCAAGCGGCCTACCTCTTGTTCCATTTCTATCAGCCTTCTCAATAATTTTGAAGGCTGATAGAAATACTATGATTTGATAACGTTGCATTTAATCAAGAATTTGGATTTTTCAGATAGCTGGAAATTTTTTACTTCTTTTCAATTCATGTGTTTTTATTTACATCTGGTTCAAGTTACCCAGCTGTATATGTCTGATGCTAAGCAATTATTTATAAACCGAATTTTAAAACAGTCGCAGGATACTGGGATCAAACCCACAACTATCGGCTCCTTTCTTGGTACTCTGAACTGCAACTACAGGGCCACCTTGCCTCTAAAACATATAAAACTCGTACATTAAGTGTGTATCTTACCCACTACTTCTGGCATTTGAAAAAACTGAAATATCTGACTTCTTCCTTATACAAGCGTATTATTTCGAAAAATTTCATCAGATTCTATCACATCAGATTATCACGTCACTACCTAATATTTTCCGGAAACGAATTTGGCTCATGAACAAAAACTTCTAGGAATGACGAATGCTAGTAAAAGCATCTTTATCTGATTAGAAATTCCTCTATTCTCAGATTTAATAAAATCTAATGGTAGCACCGTAATCAATTTATTTCTCCACCATAAACATAAATAAGTTGTGTGCTTCATTAAGACCAGTTTCATTTTGGAGCAATTCTTGAATGTCAGTGATAAGAACCATATTTAGTTATTTACGATGGAGCTTCTCTAGCATGCAACGTAACCGTATCGATGATTCGAGTCGATAATCGTGCAAGATAATGGACATCCCGAGGTCTAGGGAATGTAGCGAGCTGCCTGATAACGCTTATCTTCATTATCAGTATCTGCAACCCCAAAAGTTCAGTCGTAGTGGGACAGGAACCTTGGATGGAAGTGCGTCATCGTCAGCCTAAGATATTTGATCAGACTAAAAGGTATTATTGCGCTTAACTTGAACAATATTATACGCCTCTGGTGACATGGAATATAGTTCTCGATTTCACCAAATCAAACGCTTGAAATTCCATATGACCTTGTTCAAGACTTGACATCATTATTTGCTGGAATTACAGCGCAGTAGATACGTTCTTGAACTAACTGTTGTCATCGAACCCATTGCAATTTTTACAATCGCTGTATCTCTTCTGGTAACTTGCAATTTGAAATATAACTTTTAGTAATCATCAAAAATTAATGCTTGTAATCATCATTCTTTATACAAAATTTTATATTCATAATAACTATTTTTACGTGAACGTTTGATGCTCATCATCATAAAATTTTTACGTGAACATTTTATGCCTTTATAAAATAAGTACAATAATAGTTTTCCAAAGCATTTCAAGCTAATACTGAAAATTTTTAATAAAAAATACATTGTTCACAATCACCACTCAAACATGTAATGCACATAATTACCATTCATGCTATATGTATTATGCAATGAATATAATCGTATATTCGGAATATTTCATTAGGTAATCGTACCAGTATTCTCTTTGAATTTGTTATGTGTTAACAGCATTGGTTTGATTTATCGATTCATCAGACCTAAGCATCGGCAATATGGCACAATATTAACTCCTTACAACTGTCTTAGCCCAATTTAAACGATTGATTCACATAATGACACGATGTTAAACATTTTAAATTATTTGTCAAGATGCAACATATAGCTACACTTTATTATCGTTTTAGGTCTGAAGTTAATTTTTGATTATCTTGTAGCACAACTTTGATAATTTGATCGTCGTTTCAAAAGAACGTTGAACATTCGATAATAATCAGTATCGATAAAATTTAAAAGTCGAATAATTATTGTCATACATTTCATGTAATTTTCGATCATGAATGCTACTTGAGTATGATATTCGTACGTCATCGGAAATTTCATCGTTTCCTATTGTACAGCCTGAAATATTTTATGTTCTCTTTATTCTTTTCATTTCAAGAATACATTTTTCAGTATTCAATTTTAAACGCATCGTTGCTCATAACGTACATGATATAATTTTTTAATGGTGGGATCGGCATTGAAGATAAGACCATGTTTGGTCTGGACCGATTCTAGGTATCGCAGAATTCTAATAACTATATAGCTTTTAGCCTCGAATTCGAAGCTGACTTTCCCAATTCTGCTATGTCTACCACTTGGCCACCTCTAGTGGTTATGATCACTAAAATTGATTTTATGTATATTTGAAACTATCAAATTATACTCGGAGTGAACTGAAACTTGCATAGATTTTAGCTTAAAATTAAGAGATTTATTATTTGTGTATTGATTTGAATCTTATTTCCAAGGTCGAGACGAGATGTCGTACTGGGCAGTCCAACCGAAGCCCGTCGAAATAGTTCCTAAGAAAGAGGAAAACGTGGTTATTTCTTCAAGCATAATTTCTCATTTTGCCGCTGGGAAACAATCAGATGTATCAACGCATGCCACTTACCAGCCAGCACCTCTACAGGTTGTCGCACCTTCAGTTGAAGGGGAAGTATTGAAGAAAGTTGGCGAAGTGCTTGCTGCAGATCAGGAGTTGAAAGTCTTCAAGCATAAGGGAGTCAACACATTGATTCGCAAAAGGATTTTAGCTCTCGAGAACTCGGTCGTGAGTAAAACTGTTGAGAGACCGCCGATGCAAGAGGTTGACAAGACGATCAGGGAAGTGAAGCAAATCGAGTATGACTCCCCTGCCAGTGTAGAAGTGAGAACAGTTGTGGAACCTGCAGTACCTCAGCCCACTGCAAATATTAGAGCTTTAGCAAAGGCAATGCATGTGGAGCGGCCAGCCATCGTCGAACTTCCCAAACTTCAGGTCGCTGAGAAACCAGCTGTCAAAACGTCGATTCTAAAGGTCTCTGAGATAGAAACCTCGCCTAAACCGATCCTCACTAAGAAGTACTCTTTCGACATGACGAAAAAGTTCCATGAGGAAGAGGATAACGATGGTTGGAAAAAAGTCAAGGAAATTCCTCTCGTGGCAAGTTCTGAGTCTGATGAGACCGAGACCGAAGAAGAATCAGAAGAAGAAAGTGAGGCGGAGGAAGAAGACGCTACGCAGTCGGATTCAGGAACAGAATCCGATGAATCATCTCAGCCTCCCCCGAAAGTCGTGCCGAGGACAAAAAAGAAAGCAGAAAACGATAAGGAAGCTGCGAAAGAAGCTCGACTGAACCCAAAAACGGTGGAGCGCATCTTAAAATATGACAATTTTTCTGAGTGCGTCGAATCAAGTCTCTTTGAGAGCTTCGAAGAGTACCTTCGACGTCGCAACATGGAGTCAGGATACGATCCCGAAATTTACGATTCTCGTTCGGATTATGACTATCGTTCCGAATATGACTCCCTTTATGGCTACAGTTCTCAGTCAGAATATGACACGCGTTCTGATTACGATGCCATGGGCTACCAGAGCGATGACGGCAGTGTCTTCTCTGACCGCACTGAGTTCACCAACGCGGAGGACAACGCAAGCTTCATCAACAGCGAATATCGTCGTGACTACGACACATACTCGGAGAGGAGCGCAGCACCTATTGATGAACCGGCCGGTCGTGACTACGACACATACTCGGAGAGGAGCGTACTGACGTACGATAGTCGTGCAGATGATCAATATTACTCTGACGGCGCCGATGATAGATATCATGATCGCGCACCGCTGTATTACTCGGATGATGATGACGATAGAACGGTGATTGAAGGTAGCGTCTACTCAGGGTACTCCTACGCTGGCTCGCACGCATACTCGGACTATGGCGACAGGACACCGACTGCCTCGGAATACGGCGATGGCAACGCGTACTATGATGACCGGGATCCATATCCGGAGAGGAAATAATTATAAAAAATATTTCACTCACAAGCAGGACGATTTTTTTTATTAAATTCACGAAGTAGCCTTATATTAAATATGGCAAGTGTTAAAAGTCATGCTGAGTGGTTTGTGTCTTTTTTTATTATTTTTAATTATGATTACAACTCGATAATTACGTGTTTTTAAATTATTCTATTATTTAATAGTCCATTTCATGTTTGACCTACGTTTAAACTTTTTTAATCCCTCAATAATGTTCAACCATGATAAAATTTATGGTGGTTTTGAACAAAATTTATTTAACACCTGCACTGAATATTTTATTTTGAACTACATTCAATCAGGATATTTGTTACTTCAATTTATTGTTTTTCAATAATTTTCTATGTAGAATGTAAAAAGACTAAGTAAACTATAAATCGCTTCAAATTATTATCATTATCCATGTATAGTAATTGAATGTGTAATGCGTATTAAGAGAAATTTGATTCCATTGATGTTTATAAAATGTTGAGATTTATTCACATTGGAAATTTGGTTAAATCCTAAAAAGTTTTCAACAATTGTTTCAAAATCGGCCTCAACGTGGTAGTCGATCGCAAAAATTTAGTAAACTCAGCTCAGCGCATTCCTGACTGGTATGGTTCTAATGAACCCAGTCAGCCAGCCCTCGGCAGTTAATATGATTTATTAATTAGTCCCGAAAGAGCCACCCCATATAAAGTAAAACGTTTTATTAATTGGGTCCCTAAGGCTCCCCTCCTCAGCCAGTAGGATGTTTTGTTAATTAGGTCACTAATTAAGGACCCACCCTTCGTAAGCAGCGTCCCAAGAATTAGGCGCCACCGTTCACCAGCCACTGTACGAGTTACATTTTAATATAATAATAATATAGCGCTTTCAGCGTGGCATTTAGTAGGCCGTAGGCCTGTCGCCGATTCTTAACATTGCAGAACATTCACAGCTTGTTGAGGACTCGAACTCACAACTCACTGCTTCAATTTTGCTTTGCTTAACCGCCCGGCCTCCTCGCCGATTCTTGTTAGAAACTGGCGCACAGAGCTGGGATTGAACCCGCACCTCTCTGCTCCAATCCTGATACTCCTGAACTGTAACCACTGGGCCACCCTGCTGCTAGCAGGGGGGCCCACCCTACTTACTAGCTCTGAGCGCGAATTTGTCCAATTTATAGCATTATTTTGCAGGCGAGCAGTAGGACATGTTATTGCTATGCATGAGAGCAGTACGATGTATTATGGGTCTTTGGGTGAGCAGAACAAGAGCCTGAAGAAAAAAATTATCGGCAAGCCGATCCTCTGGTGACAGGTCATTAAGACAGGACATCCGCTCGACATCAAGGAAATGATTGTATGCCGATCGATGAATTAAAATATTGATACAATGAAACTCTGTTAAGTATTGTTATCACAACGATTTACAAGTTAAAAATTATGTTTTAATGAATTATACACAAATTTATGTTTGGTTAAGGTTAAGTGAAGAAAACGCGCGCTTCTTTTGTCAAGTGGACAACAACGAAATATTTGTTTAGAACTAAAGGGGCAAGGCCAATATTGTGTTTAGAAATAAGTTCGTTAAATAAATATCTCCTACGTTGTACCGCCAAGATGAACTGTCTTATATAGAAAACTAAGAGACCAATTAAAATTGAACACCGTTTAATTGAGCAGGGTATTTTATTAATTAATATTGTCGCGAAGAAATTGCTTAATGATAGATGTGCGCCACGGTTGAACTTGTATAAGGTTGACCCATGAGAAGCTCAAGAACTTAAAAGAAAAGAAAATAGCCAAAAATTCACCATTTCTTAAAAAGAAAAACGTTTCGGAGTCCAGCTCCATCATCAGTTAAAACTTAAAACACAGGTAAAAACAATTAACAAATAAATTCACATAGATGCATGAATCGTCAAATGAAAACAAATAAGAATGGAGTAAATATGGGCAGACAAACCTATCTTTTTAAAATTTCGAGGGGTTATGAACTGTTGGCGGCATTTGAACTAGGCTATTGATTAAAAATATCAAGGAACTCTAAATTCGCAGGTCGGAAACAACGGTCGCTGCTTAAGCCGGTGCTTAAGCAGGATTTTCGGTAAACAGATGTCTGAAAACGGCTATTTGATTTTGTGACATTGCAATCAAGAAAAGATAAGCTATTGTTTGATTAAAGCTTCATGGTAAATTTGATAAACTTGTGCTGGAGATTAAGATAATCAAAGACAAGGCCTACATGAGAGTAATGCTTGAAAATTAAAAAATTGTCATCGACATACCGGTTATAGCATTGTGGCTTGAAATCAAGAGGACAATTGGCCTGCCATGTAGCCTCGTGAAAACGCATGAAAATGTTAGCAAAATTAAGGCCGAGAGGAAGACCTATGCCCAAACTATCAATTGTCTTGCGATTCAAGCGGTCAAGTGATCTTAATACTTACACATTAGGGGCATGGTGGCTGAGTACCAAGATTGGCGCAGAGAGGCGCGGGTTCGATCCCAGCTCTGTGCGCCAGTTTCTGGTCAGAATCGGCAAGGAGGCCGGGCGGTTAAGCAAAACAGAATTGTAGCAGTGAGTTGTGAGTTCGAGACCGCAAAATTCTGTGAATGTTCTGCGATGTTAAGAATCGGCGACAGGCCTACGGCCTAATAAACGCTGAAACCGCTATATTATATTATTATTACACGAGAAGCTAATTTTTACAGATGTAGTTGTTTGCCTGTGACGTCATTGATCTTAGTGACGTCACGGGCATTAATTAACCATTCACCGCAATGCGATCAAGCCAGTCAACCAATCCGTCATGGGAATGACGGGATTGTTTACGTCTCTCGATCTTAGTGACGTAACATGAACGCTACCGGTAAACTGAAAGACGGAAATCCTATCCTCGTGGGTCAACCTTATATAGTTCAACCCATGGTTAAACTAGTATATGGTTGACCCATCAGAAGCCCATTTTTGCGGATGTAGTTCGTTGTTCGCCTGTGTCGTCACTGATATCAATGACGTCACGGGCATTACCCAATCACCGAAATGCGATCAAACCAGTCAACCAATCCGTCATGGAAATGACGGGTTTATTTACGTTTCTCGATCTACGTAACGTATCAAGAAAACTGAACTGAAAGCCTGAACTTCTCGTGGGTCAACCTAACATAGTTCAACCATGGTTCAACCACGTCTGTGAGCAATGTAACTTTTACAACAGATTTCAAAATAATTTGCGGATTGAAATATTGTCCGGAACGCTATGTATGGCTTTTTTAAAATACATCCCAGAGCTGGCGGAAGACGCAGGTCCGCAGGATACGTGAATGGTAATAGACTAATAGCGGTCCCAGCGTAAGCGTTTATTACGCCGTTGGCCCGTCGCCGATTCTTAGCATCGCAGAACATTTACGGGCCGGTCGGGCCCACGCATGTTGCAGTCTTGAACCTGTCTCTTATACACATCTGGGTGGCCCACCCTACTTACTAGCTTTGAGCGCGAATTTGTCCAATTTATAGCATTATTTTGCAGGCGAGCAGTAGGACATGTTATTGCTATGCATGAGAGCAGTACGATGTATTATGGGTCTTTGGGTGAGCAGAACAAGAGCCTGAAGAAAAAAATTATCGGCAAGCCGATCCTCTGGTGACAGGTCATCAAGACAAGACATCCGCTCGACATCAAGGAAATGATTGTATGCCGATCGATGAATTAAAATATTGATACAATGAAACTCTGTTAAGTATTGTTATCACAACGATTTACAAGTTAAAAATTATGTTTTAATGAATTATACACAAATTTATGTTTGGTTAAGGTTAAGTGAAGAAAACGCGCGCTTCTTTTGTCAAGTGGACAACAACGAAATATTTGTTTAGAACTAAAGGGGCAAGGCCAATATTGTGTTTAGAAATAAGTTCGTTAAATAAATATCTCCTACGTTGTACCGCCAAGATGAACTGTCTTATATAGAAAACTAAGAGACCAATTAAAATTGAACACCGTTTAATTGAACAGGGTATTTTCTGTCTCTTATACACATCTAGATGTGTATAAGAGACAGCCGTTTAATTGAACAGGGTATTTTATTAATTAATATNTGCGACATAATGTTCAAATAGTTATTGACAGGCACAGGCGCAATGTATCGGCCTCAAACATGCTCGCAGGGACGCGAGGAGAAGAACTTTTAGGGATAATGCCAGGTATTTTTCCAGCCAACGGGTTAAAAACTAATTACCTTTTCGCCGATATTTTGAAGGAAAATGGAGGATACATGGCATATAAGGAGGAAGACAAGGGAAAATTATAGTATATTCTAAGGATTATATTCCTGTCTCTTATACACATCTAGATGTGTATAAGAGACAGAAGTACGGCGCTGTCGGCGCACGGCGCATTTTTTTTACCGGCATAGTACGGCGCACCGCGCAGGTCGTTAAAATGACAAAATAAATTCCCGCGCACCTGGCACATCTTCCTGACCATGGCCAGTGTATAGATATCACAACACTTATAAGGAACTACTAAGGAGGCACGGTGGCAACCTCGCGTGATGGCGTCAGAGCAAGAGTGAAGGGCTCGGAATAGGCCTCCGGGAAAACCGGAAGTCTTCCAAAATGTTGCCATTGTTAGGTATCAAATTGTGCTATGGTTGCTGTTCTAGTGTTCAATTTTATAATTGTTCTTATCGGATCTTAAAAGTATTATAAAACACTTCGCAAATTATGTTTGTTATAGTTGACTATGATTTTTGTTGTTACTGACCGTTGTTACTGACCATTGTTAAGGATGACAATATGCACAATATTAAGTTAGCAAGGTGTCTACATCTTATCTTATTCTAACAATACTGCCGAGATCACTACAAATCTACTGCGATCGTCTCTTTTTGAAGTTTTTGCTTGGAGATGGGATGCTACAGCACCGTTGTAGGATGTACCAGTCGTTCTCACGGCCATTTAAACAGAAAACTATACAATGGAATGCATTTATTCATTTACTAGGCGTGAATGCCCGGCCAGAACACGTACAGCGGAATGAGGTGGATGTGCAAGTAGGTTCCCCGTCCTATAACTCCTGCCCTTATGCTCAGCCAGTCTAGTATAGAAATTGCGTGACGTCATATCGACGTACGCTAATGCGCACTGCGCACAACTATATCTGTAAACTAGTGACGATTGCATAAGAACAGGTAGGGTATCCTTAAACCTTAAAAAAGAGCTGATTCTAAAATTGTTAACTAGCAACACATGAAGATTTACATCCGGAAGATATTTAGCAAATAAAACTTTTAATTCCTTTGACATAGCTTCAGATGCGGGGCCAAAGTAGGGAAAACAACAGTAAACAACTTTCCTATTGTCACACTTGGGAACAACTGCAGTATATTGCTTGGACATAAACTTCTTAATTTGGGTAAACACCAGGTGCGATGGAAAGCCATTTTGTGAAAAGATATTGCGCAACAATTCAAATGCAGAGTGCATGGCTAGGAGAGTAGAACAAATGCAAAAGCCACGGTTTATCAATGTTTGGATCCCATTTAATTTGAAGCAAAAGGAACAAAAGCTAAAAAAGCTGGTGCTTAACCCATTAATGCCGAGCGGTTCCATTTGGAACCAGCGGGAAAAAAATTGATTCATAATAAAATTGTATGGTCATTTCAATATACTAGTGGATGCGTAGGTTTGATACACATCTTGGACGTGTTCTGGCAACGTTTGGTTCAGCTGCGCCGACTACTCCCTGAGTCCCTGCTCAGTTAACATTAAAAGATTGTAAGTACCGGGTGTCAGACAGAAGGGCTTGACATCATTGCAGAGAAAGGTAAGTAGTTCGTTCCAAGAATATATTATTTATAAGTTAGATGCAGAATTTTATCGATAAAGAGAGTACTTTTAATTCTGTATATGGTATTACGTGATATAATGTTTCTTACATGATACAATTGGTCCCAAGCCAACATATTATATGTGATATCTATTCTGGTTTCATTTAGCTTCTAAAAAAACTTTTGAAAAAAGAATGGCTATTGCAATAAATTTTGAAAAATATCGGTTAGGAAATGCAATAATGCAGGAGACCCTAAATAAAACAATCAGGGTCTATAGTGCAGCCTTTTACTTTGATCCTTGATGAAGTGCAATACAACAATCAACAACATCGGCCAGTAAAGAGACGTCAGAAGCACTGCAAATGCAGTGCTTCGTAAACAATGTTGACAACGCACCCACAAACATACGTAAAATGGGCAACCTTCCTGTTCATTTTGAATGAATGGAAGCATTCTATGCTAAAAATTGAATTGTATTCTGCCATGATTGGTTTATCATCAGTATTGTCCATTATGAATACATATACTATTATGTATTATCGATTATGAACAACCTTGCTTGATTTACTATCGGAAAAAGTGTTGTTTGAAGAAACGTTATGTTAATGCCGAGCGGTTCCATATGGAACCAAGCTATAATTTTTCACATACAACGAAAAATAAATATATGAACATATTTTTTGCTTATTACCATCACAAATGATAATATTCACACAAGGAACCGAAAAAAAGTTCAGAAAATAATTTTCGTCATTAATGGGTTAAGCCGGTAAAAGTAAATTTTCTAAAAACAGAAGTTTGGAAATAGCCATCAGATTTGGTAAATTTGCAATCAAGGAATGACAAGCTATTGTTTGATTCAAGCTCCATGGTGAATTTGATAGATTTATGTTGGAGATTAAGATTAAGTCCATCTTATAAAGATATGTTGAATTTTTGTGGTATTGTTTTTGCTTTTAAATTCCTAGTGAAGTTGAAATATTTACGGGTAGCATGCCGACTTGGTGTAGACTTTGGTACTGGTCCAAAACACGAGGGCTAAAGAGTCGCTCTTTGGTCCGGCTCTAAATTCCCTTGCGTTGTAGAAAGGAGTAATGAACACAATGAACTTCTCGTAGTATACTGGTAATCTCCAGGCAAATACAAGTTTTTTCATACGAGGCGCAAAATTTATTATTTGCTTAATCCAAAAGTTTGTGGAAAAAGGCTTGACATTTCAGGGGTACAAACAGCTGAGAAACCACACAGTATGAGCCCTAATACACAGCTGCAAATTTATTCATACCATCACACAAGGGACATTTTTGTTATTCATTTGTAGCTTCTGCTCAATTTTCCAGTTTGAATTTCTTTTGCAGTTTCCTAATTAAGGAAAAAATACAAGTAAATGGTATTCAATGTCAAGCTTTTAACAGATTTAACTTGATACATTAATTCTGAGCATCAAGACTTCCACCTTCTTGTTAAATTTAGAGTCTTACTTCTCAATCATTGATCATGCCAATTTAGAACAATGAGCAAAATATACCTAAAATGAAGGCTATAAAATATATAAGTTTTACTGGTGATTTTTTAAAAATATGTGACAAATATGCCATTTTCTGTTATTTTCACATGAGTAATTTGGCAAGGGCCATAGAACAGGTGGAATTGTCTGCAAACATAGCCATTTTTGTCTCATTTATTGGCAGCTTCTGTCCAATTTGGCAATCATGTAGTCCTCAGGAATTTTGCAAAGTCATTGGATGGTAGCAATCTGGAAGGGGCAAGGGAGGGCTATCTAGCAAGTTAGAGTTCCAGGAATGCTGTGATATACTATTAAGGAAAGAGCAGTTTCAGGCATTTCAATCCAGTAAAATATCAGTACCTTGTTATATATTATTTGATTATTTCTCTAATATTCCTCCCTATATGCTCTTACACTCTTTACCAAATTGGTATCCAATGTAATTAGTATGTATTTTCTCAGCTATCATCTCCCAAAACTGTAATTATCTGCAATCCTCAGTTTGTCTTTAGTCTCAGTGATAAACACTGAGACTAAAGCTATACCTAGTTAAAATTACAGAGACCGATAAGAATTTTTTTTTAACTTTCCAATAAACTTTTAGCGCTGCAGTTTAATATACATATTTGCCCAACTCACTCAAAATTCAAGTATTCATTACCAGTCTTTAAACATTAACTTCTGAAACAAATTGAGAATTTATCAATTACTTACGTAGTGCAATATTATATTAGCATTATTTTCATTCAATTTATTTGAACAATAATTTTACTTTAATTTCTGTGGTATTACTGACATACCAGGTATTGCTGTTGGAATCAATAGGTCCAGCAGGTAAAATGTTCATGAACAATCCAGCAGCTAAAATGTCCATGAACAATCCAGCAGCTAAAATGTCCTTGAACAATCCAGCAGCTAAAATGTCCATGAACAATCCAGCAGCTAAAATGTCNAATGTCCATGAACAATCCAGCAGGTAAAATGTCCAGGAACAATCCAGCAGATAATGTGGTACAAAACAATCAAACATATAATAACTCTGAGAACAAATAAACATGAACAAAAAGGCCTCTTGAGCAGCAAGGATTCTTAGATGCTGTCAATAGAATGCTTGGTTGATGTTTATTGATTGCTGCTCCATGCTTGGTTAGGTTTAGTTTATTTTTTAAGCAAAAAGTAATTGTGAATTGTGATTCAACAAATAATATTTTTTGAAGATTAGATAGTAGTAATAAATAACATGTTACATCTTTAAAGATTTTTGAACTGTTTTGTGAACACAGTAATTTTGTTCTGATTGATACAATTCAAACAAATTTCCTGGCTCCATTGCCTTACCCCTGTAACAAACTATTATCTGATTTTGAAATAATGCCAGCATTGCTTCCATGTATATGCATAAGATGTCTGTACTAATATGTGCAATTATATTTTTATTTTGATATCTAGGCTCATGAGTATGTATATTCTTTATTTGCAAGAGCAATTCATCAAGGCATTCCTAAAAATCTTGGAAAGTCAGTATGATCTTTTGACCTTGGAAATAATGGTTGTGCTGTGCTCATCTTTAGTGAGTTGACTGAGTTCTTATTCCAACATATTGTATTTGTTAGCGTCAGTTAGCCTAAGTAAGTTACTGTTAGCTTTGCCTATCTGTATTTTCATACACTCTTTCTTTTAACTACAATAATTTTTTCCAGTTAATCATTTATCAATCATTTTTTCTATTTTAGATTATTGAATATAACTAGGATAACTATAAAGTCAGCACAATGGATACAATGCAATGTCATATCACAACAGGTGATATGACAGAAGCTGAATTTGAAATGCAGAGGCAAAAATATCGTGAGCTGCTTGAAAAACTCCAGGAAAAAGCTGAGAGCAGTGGAGCTCAGGGCGTAGACCCTGACGAACTTCGGACCCTCATGCTGCAGGGCAATCAGATATTTCTCCAAGGTAGCTCATTGTTGCTTTTTTTACTTTGATGTGGAATATTACTGCATTCAACTATATGTATTTGCTTTGTTGAGCATTGGAACCAATTTGCGACTATTTTCAATAATAAACTTTTTTATGTGCATTGAATATCTATTGGCTGCCACAATTCTGTATATATTGGTGCAAATGTTGTTCAATTTTAGATCTGTTTAATATTGTTCAGTATTATTCAATTTTAAGCTCTGCATTTACAGCATATATGTTCACCAACCTTCATAACAAGTGAACAGTAATGCCTCAATGTTATCATTTGTCCCTGCCTCTCAGTTCGCAGATCTCGTGAGGCTGTTCTCGATGCTCAGTTCATGAAGCAAGTGTCTCAACAGGCAACTCTTAACATGCGATCATCACACGCCTCCTTGCATGAATTTAAGCCTCAGGAATTTGCTACAAAATTGGTAAGTTACATCAATATCAGTAAGCATAAGCTATATTGGTAAAAAAATTCAAAAGGTTTCCATTAAGTCCATGAATTGCAGGAAATAAGAATGCCTTAAATGGAGAGGATAGGGGACCTTGCATGAAGAAGATGCAGGATTTTTTTTTTAAATCCTTTCTAAGAAAACCGCTATTTTGCTCGAAGCTAATTTTGTTAATAATCTAATATTTTGGGTTATGTGAAGTTGTGAACAGAACTTCAGCAGGCCTAGGAACTTTAATGAGGCTTGAACTTACTCTATTTTAAAATAGAAAAGCATGGGAGAAACAAGTTCTATATTAATTATTATTTCTGCTTAATTTATGAAAAGTTCAACTTCTATTTGGTTTCTTAAATGTGATCAATAATCAGTAAGTTTCATCAAGGTCTGTCTTGTTTTTACGAGTAAACTCTGTTGATGCTATGTATTCAGTTTCTAAATTCATTTAGGGTACTATTTGATTAAATTCAAGTTAATTGTTACAAATAAATATTCTTAATTTTATTTCCAGAAATTGTACCTTGGCACTCATCTCAACAGTCGAATTGACCTGCCCTTCACAGCAGACAGTTGGAGAAAGTAAGAAAAGCTAATGTTCTTTTAAAAATAGTGTTCAAAACTAAAATATTTGGATAAAAATTATTCCCTAATCATGATTTACTTCTCATATTTTGGTGCGTTGTTCCTGTTTAGTCTCAGGACTCATTCTATAAATACACATATATACTTGGCCTGCTTGTTATATACCATGGGAGTGCTCAGTCACTTCCATGTCTGTCATTTGACTTTTTATTTCTCTGCTTGCTGTAGCAAATAATGGACAGGAACCCAAATTTTGTACTTGACAGAAATCTTTCAATATTTTGTGTACAACTTCCACTTTTTCTATCCATTTAATCTCTCAAATTTTTACATCACTTCTCATTAACTTCACTTCTTGTCATTTGTCTTCTGTCTGCTACAAATCTTATAATTGATATTTTCGATATTTAACACACTTCTACCTCTCCAATCGATCTGAAATTTTGCACACTTGCGTAAAGTTGGAGACAATGCATGAATCAATTGACAGAATGAATAATTTGGAAAATTTAATTTTTTTAATAATAAAAATGTAAAATTTATTTTGTCTGCTACAAATCTTATTTTCCATATTTAACACACTTCTACCTCTCCAATCAATCTGAAATTTTGCACACTTGCATAAAGTTGGTGACAATGCATGAATCAATTGACTGAATGAATAATTTTGAAAATTTAATTTTTTTATATATTAAATAATGTAAAAATTATTTATTGTTCTATTTCATAACTTCAGGCTTGGGCTAGAGTGCAGGAAGTCTCTTCGCAGCTGTAGCGGCGTGGAGCCTCAGTACATGGGGGCTGTTGTTAGGGCCCCTAGAGCGCCCAGAGCACAGTCACAGAGGGTCAAGGATAAAGAGGCAGTCAAGACTGACTTGAAGAAGGTTGATTGCTATTTTCTATTAGTTTTTGACTTATTTATAAATTACAATCAACATATCAAATGTTTTACATATGCATTCAGGATACAGCCAAGGTTGCTCCAATATCTTTAAAAGCTTAATATGTATTCAATTTTTTATCCAGTCACGCTTTTCCCAGTTTTCGAAATTTGTTTAAATAGTTCTGTAGCTTTTTAGTAGATTATTGACAATATTTCCTTTTGTAGCGAAAATTTCCTATTCCAGGTAGCTTTTGTCCAAAGTGAGGAAATGCAAACGGAAGAAGTTTCCAGAATTTTTGGTATTCTGAAGAGACGGTTCCGTGAAAATGGAAATCGTCCACTCTGCTTCTTCTCCTTCATAATCAACCCTCACAGCTTCGTGGCCACCATCGAGAACGTCTTCCACTGCAGCTTCCTATTACGTGATGGACATGCACTTATCACTTCTGGTAACGCACATTCAAGATCACTTCCATTCACATACAAATTTTAATATAAAGGCCTTTACATCAGTGCCACTTTTTGCAGATACTTCTCAAAATCCAAAAGTTGCAGGCGATTAATTTGTTTTTGGTTATATATAAACTTTAATTGGTATAAATTTATTTGACAACAGGTTTTTATGTACACCTAGTTTATATGATTGTTTCCTGATTACCAAAATTTTACTTTATTTTGCTCATCTGTAAAAATTTGCTGATGATTTTAGTATTCTATGTTTGTAAGTCATCACTAATATAAGAGTTAATTTGTTCTTGATACTCAAGTAACTGCCGTATCATAGTGATGATGTTCTTGGAAGACAAGCTTTGTCAACTACGGTAAATTTGTTTAACTTTTTTAAGGTTATCAAAACATGAATTTGCCTTCTTGCGCTATATTTACTATGTCCATTGAAAGACTCTGGCAAAAAATTCATCATGAACAGCCATGTTTTGCTATACCAAAATGTAACTCTAGTTCTTTTACTTAGATGCTGATGGTCTCCAACTTATAGCCCCGGACAAACCAAGTCCTGAGCAAGCAAATTCTGGCTCGTCAGCTCACCAGACCGCAGTTAGCTTCAACCTCAACACGTTCGAAGAATGCGTCCGGGTTTTTAATATTAAGGAACCAATGATTCCTCCACGTGCTGCTACCAATGGCTCAGAACGCACTTAAATGGTTCAAAATTTATGCCTATAGTGGAATTTAACTATGGTTGCATTCCATCTACTTATCGTATTTTTTCATCTTATGCTAACTGTACTGCCAGACCAAAAACTCTTCTCTCTAACTAGCCGAATTCCAGAATTTCTCTTACAAACCGAAACAAATGTGTGCTAACATTGCTGTGGCTGCCCAAAAATAATACCTACAGCATATATTTTCTGGCACATTCAGTTGCAGTCTCGAATGACAATGTTCAATTTATATTACTTTGTTTGATAATACTTAAACATATGTACTCCATTCATTTATTATTTTTTGTAGTATTCTGATGTTGTCAATTTATGTAGATTTCAAGTAGCTATCAATATCAATTTCTCTTCTTCATCTACAATCTAGATTGTTGCGAATGCCAGTATTGTCTTCAAGAGCAACATTATTTTTTTTTTTTCAGGCTGTTTCACGCCATAGAATTACCAAAAACTTGTATTAGTCTATAGTTACGATGACTATGCATATGTACTTTTTAAAAGCTGCATGCATTTATTTTATATGGATTTTGCGTAATGAATTTTTCTCATGTTCTTTGTTTAACTTCTGGCTGTGAATAAACCTGCTGCTTCTGAGAATTGCAGCAAGTGGCATTCGGACTTCCAGTTTTTACTGGCAATTAGCCCTATGTTGCTCGGGATAAATAATCTTTGTAATTTTAGAATCCGATTTACTTTATTAAAATAATGAATTCTAATTTAAAAAGATTTGTCTAACCTCGCAGTTTATATTCAAGAAACCGCAAGGAGCAGAAGCCTGGAGGGCTTTTGTAGGGGCGTGAAGGCACTGGTTAGATGTGTAGGTACTCGACTGACGCTCATGTGATGTTAGTGATCAAAATAGGCGATGTTTCCCAATAGTGCGAGATTAATTAATAGCTGAAGCTCCAATACGTTACGTATACCACCGAATACTCTTACTTTTTACGTATAACCGAAAACCACCGAATCCGATTATATCCGATATATCCGAATATAACCAATACCACCAAATCTACTGTTTTTATTAAATATTTTTGCAGCGTGAAGAACCAATCGGTCTTTGTAAAGGATTTGAGGTTTAATAAGTTAAAATTTGATCTTCTCACCAAACAGCTATTGTGTGAAGTCAGACTAGCCACATTAAACCGTGCCCCAATGACGAACCCCCGGTTCCTGAGTCTTATTATTATTGTTTTACATCTTCAGGAGAGTGTTTTCTGGTGCATGTGTTTGCTTTTCGAAGGCCTTATGACACACGTTTGATTCTGAGGACCTTTTTACTGTGCGGCCAGCGTACGGCTTGTGTTACCTGACTTTGGGGTTAAGACTTTGTGTGGCTCAATTGTGGGGTTAAGATGTTGTGTAGGCAGGGCAGTTGTGGGGTTAAGATGTTGTGTAGGCAGGGCAGTTGTGGGGTCAAGATGTTGTGTAGGCAGGGCAGTTGTGGGGTCAAGTTGTTGTGTAGGCAGGGCAGTTGTAGGGTTTAGTAGTTGCGTACTTTGAGTAATTATGTTTAGTTACATGTATATCATTATATGTATGGTTCCATGCCTGTATTTTTTTATCTTGATTATTAGACCGGCCTAGCTCAAGAGCAAACTTATGTTTGAGCACGATTTTTTACCTATTGCTCTCTCTTCGTTAGTTCTTTGTAAGCAAGACACGCTGATCCTGTGTACCTCCTGTGGAAGCTCAGCTTGCAGTCACGGGGGACACGGATGCTGCTTGTTGGTAGAAATGATGGATGATAATAATGATAATTTGGATGATAAAAATAATGGATGATAATAATTTGGCTTGTGAGCCATACACGCGAGATGATTTCTGTGCGTCGTGCTACTGAGGCATCCATAAATTATTCTCATTAATGCTGAACTTATTTGCCTGCACTATTGCAGTTATTTTCATTTTTTATTTAATTTAAAATTCACCATTTCCATGTTTCTCGAGGTTCACAAACATTAGTTCTTTAAGTAAATAATATGTGATATCCAAAGTTGCAAAATATCCTATTCAAACTTAATTTTTAATTCAATGGCGCTTGTAACAAAAAATTTGTGGCACAAACTTACTTGGTTATCATATAAATTTGCCTAAGAGCTTGAAAATTTTAAGGATCACTACAACAACATCGTCATGAGTAGCATCAACCCCAGCAGCAGCAGCAACAGTGCAGCTACAGGCAAGTCTAGATCTTTGATGTAATTCACTGTTTAGTTCTCTGAAAACTCGACTGCTGTTAAACCTACTAAAAGACGCAAACTAAAATGGCATCAATAATTGACGTTCAAGCTTAGTGTCGGTTTTTCAGAGGTTATATATCTCAATAATCTTTCGCTTTCTTTCATTGTATCAATGTTTACTTTAAACCTTTCTGGAAGGCTGGTCAATTGGAGTTACTCGATCGTCCAATGCTGGTCTTTATTCCACACAAACACGGGATGTCTTGCATCTTTTCAAATTTACATATATCTGTCAAGACAAAAATTATCAGTATTTGGACAACTATATTTGTCTTTGTTCAAAAAACATACATGAGGTTTATAGGAAATGTTACAAAATTGCAAGTCATGGTGTGGGCTACAGAATGAAGAACTGTTTGGAATATCTTGCCTAATTTTCTAAATTACTCTCATGTCATTACCTAACTTTAATTGGTACTTGAGACAAAATTTACAATTATATATAAGATGTATGTTCCAAGTTTCATTTATTGGCCTTAATTTATTGGCCATTTTCTAAATTACTTCTTCTTGTCATTACTCTGCTTTAATTGATATTTGAGACATACTCCCTCCGGAAACACGTACCCGGGCCAGGCTGGTGCTCCGCCTTCGACGCCCACTAACTGTGGACGAGAAATAAACCTACTATACCTACTATAGCTGGCCTCGTAAACAAAGTGTCTTTTGTTGCTTGTTCACGGGGAGAGTAATGGCGGCCAGGCCAACCTTCAAATAATATCTGCCACCATTTACCGCGCTATTCGCCTCGTGTATGGGCGCTACTGGCCCCGCATGGATCCATTAACCCTTCACACGAGGCCAGTAGCATGATAATTAGTGGCGGTTAGTATTTGGCTATTATAGTGGCCGCCACTTGTGGCTACTGGCCTCGCATCCAAGCTTGTATTCTTCCTGTGTCTGGTCATCTTTTTATTTCTTTCCACAAAAACTGTAATGCATTGTTTGGAAATGACTTAGGAGAAAATTCTCCAGTATACATCATCTGCATGTATAATATATATCATATTTATATAAATTTCTTCAACATCTTGTTTATAGTTCCTTGTTTGCTCAGGAATGTCGGGGAGGGCGACAGAGCGGAGTTACTGCGCACCATCGAGCTCTTGAAGCTGCAGGTTTCTATCAATATTATATATTTATCGTTTTTTTAGTGCAAAATAAATATTGTTAGCGTTTTAATGCGGTCAATGTTTAGTAATATGAGGTTGTATTAGGTAGGTGCAGTGTAATTCGGTATTGAGTTAATGTCCAGGCACGTGCACTCTGAAAAATGTAGAGGCTTTGTCCGAATATCGATGCAAGTTTTGCTCATATGTGGGTCATCTTGAACTACTTTTGCTCGGCAAAATAGCGTATCAGTGCTACGTACAGAAAGTGTTGAACTATTTACGCTAGGCAACACGACTCTTTCATTTTCTGATACTTGAATTATTTGCATGTTTGAATTTGAATTATCCGACCGTAATGACCTCACTTCCCTACCATGAATGGTTCAAGAAATATCCCTTTAGTCAAGACTTTATTGCCCTCCGGCTGGGCAAGTCTTGAACTGTTTGCCAAGCTCAAGACTAACCTGTTCGACAAGTCTTGAAATTTCTTAGGCATGTCTGACCTGATAAGTGATTCGTTGAAGACTTAGACTCCACACTTCACTCAACGATGATGCTGTGTGTTGCGTGGTGCAATGATGATGTGTGTTGTGTGGCACAACAATGATGTGTGTTGTGTGGCACAACAATGATAATGTGTATTGTGTGGACAGTGTGGTACAACAATGATGATGTGTGTTGTGTGGTACGATAATGATGAGTATGTTGTACGATACAATGATGATGATGTGTCGTGTTTCATACAATGGTCATTGTTTGCGTTGTAGTACAATGATAATAATGTGTGTAGTGCCATACAATGATGATGATGTTGTGTTGTGTTTCATACAATGGTCATTATTTGCGTTGTGGTACAATGATAATGATGTGTGTAGTGCGATACAATGATGATGATGTTATGTTTCATACAATGGTCATTATTTGCGTTGTGGTACAATGATAATGATGTGTGTAGTGCGATACAACAATGATGATGGCGCAGGTAGCTGCGCGGGACGAGCAGCTGGCGCGGGCGGCGGCGCAGCGCGAGGTGGCCGTGGCGCGCGTCGCCGAGCAGAAGAACGGCGTCGTCAGCGCTGCTCTCGCCGACGTGCAGAGGTCGGCCCTGATAACGGTATCATTAAATAAATAATGATACCGTATCATTAAATAAATAATGATACTGTACCATTAAATAAATAATGATACCTAATAAATAATGATACGGTATCATTAAATAAATGATGATACCGTATCATTAAATAAATGATGATACCGTATTATTAAATAAATAATGATACCGTATTATTAAATAAATAATGATACCGTATCATTAAATAAATGATGATACCGTATTATTAAATAAATACACCAATAAATACTCAGAGAAAAAAGTGAGATGTTGTCCTAATAGTGATGCCTTTCTTGACTGCAAGTGGGTCACCCTGACCGAGTTTGGCCCGACATGAAGGCGTGTCAGTGCATTTTTTGCTATATTTCCGTGCTGTGGGTATGAAAATGCTTCCGTGTTTGGTGAATGATTCACTAATTTTTCTGAATTTTCTTTTACGTCGGATGGATTCTATTAATTTTAGTTTATTTCTTGATGGAAATTGTGCTGATCTTAGCAATGAGCTCAAATAATTTTAAATCACTTGATATATAAACAGGATTTTTTATTGTAACAGACAAAACAGACAAAATATTTATTGTATTCATGTGTTTGTTAAAAATTAGCAAGAAATATGAATGCAATATCAACTCAGGATACAATAAGAATAGAGACGATACTAATGCTGATTATGTTTATGATGATGAAATGATGACGAAAGTAAAAGACAATATGATGATTATGTTTATGATGATGAAAATGATGACGAAAGTAAAAGACAATATGAGGATTATGTTTATGATGATGAAAATGATGACGAAAGTGAAAGACGATAATGACGATTATGCTTACGATGATGAAAATGATGACGAAAGTAAAAGACAATATGATGATTATGTTTATGATGATGAAAATGATGACGAAAGTGAAAGACGACAATGCTGATTATGTTTACGATGATAAAAATAATGACGAATGTGAAAATTCTATTTCTTTACTTGTTGCTCAGGTTACAAGAGTCGCTGGCAGCGCGTGAGCGCGAGACGAGCGAGATACGCGAGCGAGCGGCGCGTGAGCTGGCAACCCTCACGTCCAAGTGTGCGCTGCTGCAGGCCAACATGACGCGGTGCGGCGCCAATATATAATTACGTAGAGGATAAGTCGTATTTAACTGTGAATTGGGTAGTTAAGAACGATATTACTTTGAGGATGAGTCGTATTTAACTGTGAATTGGGTAGTTAGGAACGATATTACTTCGAGGATAAGTCGTATTTAACTGTGAATTGGGTAGTTCCTAAAGATAATTGGTTAAAGTTACTTCAATGATAATTTGGATGTAACTAATAATTCGATTCAACTGTGAATTGGGTTGGTAGTTACTAACGATAATTCGTTATGTTATAGTTACTTCGATGATAATTCGGATGTCACTACTAATTCGGAGTTGCTACCGATTATTCGCTATTAATTGGTATGATTCATGACAAGCTCGCAAATTATACCTTTTCTTTGCCTTCTAAATGCGCAAAGTTTAAATATTTTTCATGTTCTTAATATCGAATCTAACCATTTAAATATGCAAGATACACTCTACTTGTTCTGAATGCTGATACTTAAATCTTCACTGTATTTATATCGGATATAAGTATTAAAATCACTTGGCTGCTTAAGTCGCAAATTTACCAGGAATTTAAAAGTAAAGAAAACAGCCAAAAAGTTCACCATTTCTTATAAGCGAAAACGTTTCGGAGTCCAGCTCCATCGTCAGTTCAAAACCTAGAACACAGGTACAAACAATTAGTAGCCTAAAATTTATATTCAAACAATTCACCTAACTTGAGGACATTAGAACTAAAATCGAAGATAACAGAAATAAAAATGAGATAACATGTAGAGAGGGTACTATCTATTTACAATTTCTAGAGGATAGGAACTGAATGCAGCATTTAAACTGGGTTTCTGTTTGAAAATATATAAAGATTCTAAAATTCGTAGGTCAGAAACACCGGTTGTGGAGGCTAAAACTCTAAAGTCACTATTGGACATCGGGACGTTGCACTGCTCGGCATGAATACGTACGGCTGAATGAGGGGGATGCGCAAGTATGTTCCCTGTTCTACAACTCCTGCCCCTATGCTCTGCAAGCCTAGTATAAAAATTGCGCGATGTCATACCGACATACGCAGATGCGCACTGCGCACAACTATATTGATAAACTAGGGATGATCGCATAAGAACAGGGAGAGGATCTTTGTACTTGAAAAACGAGCTAATTTTAAAATTGTTCACTAGCAATACGTTAAGATTTACATTCGGGAGGTATTTAGCTTATAAGAAATGGTGAACTTTTTGGCTGTTTTCTTTACTTTTAAATTCCTGGCTGATACTTCAAATGCGTACTGAATCATCTAATACTGAGTCTTTATACCGTTTAAATAGGCAATTTGTATGCGTATATTCGTCTTGTAGCAAATGTTAATAGCAATGGCTATGGTTAATGTGTGTCGGCATGGCAGGCTGGGGGCACTCGAGAGCGCGGCACGAGCATCGCTCCTGCAGCTGCACCTTCGTCAGGAGGAATACGACCGCCTCATAAACGTCCCCCAGGAGGAGCTGTCCTTAGCGCAGTACGCCTCGGTGCGCCTCTTGTGGACCTTCGCAGGGCATCATGCTCATCCTGCCTGACTCCTACCTCTTTTCCTTCTTCCAAACAGTTTAAATGCACTCAATATCTTCATATTGAACTTATTCTTGATATTTACAATGTACTCAATATCTTCATATTAAACTTAATGTTGACATTTTAAATGCTCGATATCCGTACATTAATTAATTTAAATCCTCTTCATTGTAATTTTCTAATCCTCCTCCCCCTTTTTCACATCTTTCCTGAAATCATCCCCTACTCCTCATGCCATCTCCCACTCCCCTGTTGACATCTCAATAATCTTGTTACTCACTCGGTGATGAATACCTTGGTGCTAAACTTGTCTGTTGACCCCCAGCGTCGGGCGCATTGCCAAGGTATCAACGATACCAGACTACAAACTATCGTACTAAGCTCCCGCCATAACTAAACTCTCTCGAATGTTTATTAGATTCTCCATTGCTCCAAGGTTCAATTAGATAGAAAAATATAGTTGGTCATTAGTAGTGGACAAGATTTATTTAGGAGAGGTAGATTTATAGTAGAATAATTTAAAACAGCAGCACGATACAGAGGTGACTGATAACGACAAGAATGCTTTATGGTGGTCATTATTCTTACCAGCAGAGTGACCGATGGCAAGCAAGAATAGAATAGAATCGTTGACCGCCTTCGAAGGATAAGTTTTAACTGCAGAATTCATTCCCGACCAAAAGCCTTGGAAAATTAATTTCTAATTTTATTATTAATGTAGCATTGCATTCACTTCAACATATTACCATTCGGCAATGTTAATGTAACTATCAAAAGTTATTACTTTGTAATTTTATTACAATTTGTTAACGTGCATATTTAAAGCAATATTTTGTCCTGCAATTGTTTTGACTATTCATTAAGCTGCCACTTTTACAGCTGCGACTACATGAGCAGCTGCAACCTCTGCGGGCAAGTGTAGCGCAGCTGCAGAGCACCCGTACGCAGCTGCAGGATCAGCTGCAGCACACGCAGCAGCAGCTGCACACCAGCAAAGAAGAAGCGGCTAACCTGCGCCTGCAGGTGCAATATTTCTCGCCATTATAATGCTTGTGACTAATTATTTGTTTGTAGATAGTTCCTATGATTTTTCCATCAAATTAATTCAAATGTGAATATTTTGAATAAATATGGTTCAAGTTTTAGAACCATACGTTTTTTTATTGAGGAAATTCAAAATCCCTTGGCTGCCAAATTTGTTGTATTTTCCATTTAAATAACGCTATATGGTCCCTTACCATATATCATCTTACTAATTTATTATTGCAAATGTTAAATTTTAAAACACGACTCGTATATTATCTTGAACATGATTATTTATTCTTCACAACAGTTGCAGGAACGGCAAGGCGAAACCGATGGTCTGAAATTACAGGTATCAAGACTTCGAGACCAAATAAAATCTGAAGACTTCCGTGTTCAAAACTACGATCGCGTGAAGAATGAACGAGAAACGTTCCATGAAGATCTCATTGAACTTCGAAAAAAACACGAATCCGCGTGTCTCGAACTTGAGAGTTTGAAGAAAGATCACTTTATGTTGACAGAGAACTTGGACTCAACTAAAATATTAAATCGTAGACTAGAGAATGAACTCGCGTCTTTGAAAGGAAACTTTCAAGATTTGCAGCGCCGGACAGCGAAGGTTGCTAGTGAAAGCGAATCAGCCAGCGCACAGCTGAGGGCTGAACGAGACTCGAATCACGAATTACACGGCAAATACATCGCGTTCAAGTCAGAAGTAGCGATGTTAAAGGTAAATTTACGTGACTGTGAACAAGATAGAAATGTTATTAAGTCTCGTTTCGAAGAATCTTTACAGTGCAATGCTGAACTTGAGCGTCGCCTAGAAGATGTCACTGCGAGGAACAAAGCCATTGCAACCGAGCTCGAGAAATGCCAGATCAAGTGCAGCAGGAGCAAAGATCAGTACGAGGAGGAAATCTCAGAATTACGATCTGAAGTTTTAAGTGCTACTAAATTAGAAAAAACTGCATCCGAGAAATGTATGTCTTTGAAGAGTGAAGTACAAAGACTGAGATCGGACTTAACTCTCTTGAATATTGAAAAAGACAGGAAAATGTCTTCTCTCCAGGCTGAGTTGCGCGAAGTAACCTCTTCTCTGGATGCATACAAAAACCTGGAGAAAGAATACGAAGAAAGTTTGCATGCAATTGAAAATCCAGAGGGTGGGAACGCACAGTTATTTCCAAGCTTGTGTCTCAGAGGCAATAAAGTTATCGAACAAATTGTCAAGCTTAGCGGTCAGGTACTGAAACTTCAGAGAGAAAATACAGACGCAAAAAACACAATCAGACAGCTCACTGAGGCTCTAGAGAAACTGGGAAGTTCGCTTTATTCCTACAAGTGTGCGGTAAGCAGTATGGCTGAGCCCGAACGATCACTCCACGAGAAAATAATCTCCCAGCAGGACCAAATAACCTCCCTCAACGACGCCCTCCAGGCAACTGAGGCCCAGAAATCCAAGATTGCTTCGCTCAGCAACAAAGTACGACGATTGTCGGAGAGCCTTGAAGCTTGCGGACCGCAGGCTAACGAGCTCAAGAAACTCAAAGATGATGTCAATGCCATGAAGGATGTGATCATCAGGTCTTTAAATCTCGACGGATCGATCCCAAGAAGACCCAAAAATGTTCTACCTTCTGCCATTTCAATTACAAAAAACGTGAGTAGAGGTGTGGAAAAATGATGCCTTCGAAAATTTGGCAAGTTCAGTAAGTACAAAGGTATTATTATACTGCTTTATCTACACATTTTTTCTACTGCCATGTCTACATATTCCCTCTGCTGCTTTGTCTACACATTTCCTCTACTGCTATGTCTAAATATTTCATCTACTGCTATGTCTACACATTTCCTCTACTGCTATAGCTACTCATTTTCTCTACTGATATGTCTACATATTTCCTGCTAGAACATTCCCGCTCTCATTTTACACAATTTATGCATTATCCTCATATGCCGGATGAAGAGTGCTAATTTTGCTCTAGTTAATTCCCACGCCGTTTACTGGTTGACTAATTCAAAGCTTGAGAACAAACAGCTCAACAGGAAATGAAACTCTATCTTATTTGTATTTATAAATTTGATTTTTTGAAATGAAGCAAAGTTTGTGATTGTCACAATTGAAATATCTAACACTACGTAGAGTTGGGAAAATTATTCGTCAACTTCCGAGTTCAATCATTGGCCCATCGCAATGCTCTACAGTCTACACGGTCCTCTTCCAGCAGAAGTCGGGGAAGATAGCCTGGTTTGGAGGATCTTAGTGTCGAGTGTTCTGTGTTGTCTCATGAGTTCTGTGTTGTATGGAGTGTTCTGTGTTGACTTACGAGTTCTGTGTTGTCTCGAGTGTTCTGCATTGACTCACGAGTTCTTGACTTACGACTTCTGTGTTGTCTCGTGTGTTCTGCATTGACTTACGAGTTCTGTGTTGTCTCGTGTGTCTGTGCGTAGAAAGTAACCAGATGACGAAATTACCTGCTAGTTGGTTAGGGATTCATAAACTTTGTTGCACTATTCCTGATATTTCATTGAATATAGAAAAAACGCTCTAACGTAACGTTCATAATTAGCCTGCAAACTGTCCTGTTTTGTTTAGTCACATGAATTCTTGATGTAGGCTAGTCGGTTTTCTGCATTTCACTCACAAATTTCGCCATCACGGTATCCTCGAATAATTTTTTGCCAAGTGTTAGACGTAATTCTAACTTGTGATCATTGGTGTTGTATAAAGTAAGTTGTTCGGTTCACCATTGTTAGTGTCTAATGTTGAGTGCCTTACGATGAACTTCCCTTTCACTGCCGTGATGCAATAGGTACAAGCATTTGCAATAAATCGTTTCCACATATTACGTTTATTTCTGAGAGTCTTTTTGTTTTTAAATAAGTCACTACTGAATTGTTATGCTAGTAAACTCCATTAAAGACGGAGAGCTGAGACTAATATACTTGAGTTCGGAAATTAAGTTTATTTGTCTTCTTCAATTGAAAGCGTGCGGGTAAGATAAATTTAATTTATTGTTATATGTGTCACAATAATTGAGAATATCACTTTCGTCTGTGAAATGAATTTATATACCAGCTGCGAATGTGTGGGATCAAATACTGAAAATGCTACATGGTGCTGATGATGCTGTCACGTTGAGTGAAAATGAGGAGGAGCTACGAAGTATGCTAAAGTAAATGTTTAGTATATTTATGTTTAGCTACGAAGTATGTTAAACTGAATAACCGAGTCCATAGATTTTAATGTGTACTACTGTTATGAGAAGATACGGGTGATGGTTATGAATGGATCAGCTTAGGATGCGAAGAGAATGCGGTAGCTGGTAGGAAATGGGATTGGGATGACAAATGAGTATTGGTATTTTGGAGTGAAATTGGACCAAAATACGTGCGAAAATAAAAAATCTGAGTCTTCGTACCAGAGGCTGGGTATATTTAGTAGTTGGGCAAGTAACTATGAATTTCGGAGGGAAATAGTGCAGTTCTGGATTATGTATGGAATGGATATGAGTATGATCATATGGAAAGATGGTGAACTGGATAAATTGGAGGCGAGAGCCCCCAGATGGACTGCAGTGGCGGCATTGAGAGATGTAGGATGGAGCAAGTTTAGTAAGAGAAGAATAAAAGCAGCACTGTACGACTGGAAAAAATGGATGGGTTAACATTGGACACTAAAGATTTATCTTTGGAATATGAGCTATTATTTATTATTAAATTATACATTTATACTCAATTTTTGGGTCTTTTGACAATCTAAATTCATCTAGGTAGGTTTTCCTTTTCTGTTGCCCTATGATCCCAATTCCAGCGTAATTTTTTGTATATTTTTTCATGCCGATCTTTGAAGAGGTTTGAAATTATTTACTTTTTCTCATTAAATTTTTTTAATTAGAAACTAAAACCAAGAGGTTCGCTTCATTTTGCGGACCAGTAATTGCGAGCGAAGTTATTTGTGTTGCCATTAGGTCGAGCCCGCGTGTTATACTATTAGGGCGCAAATACCTTCGTCGGCGGTCGGTGGCTCGGTGCGGCGCCATATCTTAACCAAGTAAGTTATAACTGGTTCCGACGCTGTTGTGACTGCCTCCTGGTAATAAAACCTTATAAGCGAATCATGCGAATGTAGTCTGAAGAAGTACTGTACGGTGTAGCAGTGTAGCATTTTGTAATGACTGATGTGATACCCCAACGGCCAACCTAACCTGAAGTCCTGAACCTATCGATGATCGATCCCATTTTCCGCTCAATAAGTGTCGAAATTGTTCATATTGTGCAGTGTTAAGTGTGCATGTCACGATGTCTGCAAATAACTGCAATCATATACAATGTATACCGTAGCATTGTATCTTATGCCGCTTATCACTTTTTTTTACATTAGCATCGTCGCAATTTCAATTGGAACTGTGGAACATCACTGCATCACCTCAGTGTTACTGTGTTAGGCATAGCGCATAGGTTACATAGCCCAAAAGCAAAACAGCCATGAGGTGACTGGTCACAGGTGTCTGGTGAGTGACTGAGTGTTTCAGTGTTCAGTCACTTCAGGCTTCAGCAAGTTCAGTGGCCACAGCGGCACAGCCCACAGGGCTGAGGGCTGTGATGGCTGTCTGAGTCACAGTCTGACTAGTGATTACTGACTGTGAGTGTGACTGAGAGTCTGAGTGCCCAACTCCTGACTGACTGACTCTAGTGTCAAATAAAACAGTAAACATAAAACATTGATGGTTCATTTATCATTATATAAAAATATGTGAAATGGCTAACAGTAAAATTGTAAATCAATATACAAATTTCAAAATAGCTTATCTGTTTTCTTCATCAGCACCTACGTCCAAACTCAATAGCACTTGTAGGTAAATTTACAAATCCTTCTGAAATTGTGCCTTGATTATTTAGTTTAATTTTCTATCAAGGGTAAATGCACCATATTCTGACATTGTGGGTAATTCTGACACTTTTCAACTTTTTCCTTTATATTAAGCTTTGTCTTAGTTCCACCTTCCACACATGTGTAGATGGTATCATGGTTGAAATAGTGACATCATACTATTGCGCGAATTATTCCCGCAAAACACTAGGTCTGGTGGGAAAATGTTAAGATGCGCAGACTCCGCAGAGCAAAACTCCACGTCACCTAGTGAGAACATTGAAACACGAGTGAAAGTTGATAGTTGACCTTGCTCTACCAAATAGTAATAAACTGTTTGTGTAGAAAAAATCTTATGATTTGAGACTTTTAAATAAGTCTATGAGACTATGAATATATTAGGGATCCTTTAAGTATACTTGTAATTGCTGATCTTAAGTGGTAAATGAATTAATAGATGATTAATTTAAGAGATGGTTTTGACACATAAAAACTAATTTCGACACAGCTTGGAAATTGGAATTAGACACACACAGCTCATTCCAAGCTGTGTTGTATAATCATATTCCAACACAGCTCACACAGGGCGTTGGAATTCCAACACAGGGTGTTGGATGTGGCATGCATTGTCTCTCTTTGGATCTCAATATTTTCCCGCTAGATGGCCTTAACCTAGTGGTTTTGCAGTATTTCGACACGCAAATGTATGACGTCACCATTTCAACCATCAATGAACGCATGGAACTAAAACAAAGCTTAATATAAAGGAAAAACTAGAGAAGTGACGGAATTACCTAGTACCTACGACTCCGGCGCGAGATAGCTTATCAGCTGAAGCACTAGTAATCATAGGGTCACTAAACTAACTAACTAGTACCTACGATGTCGGAATATACCACGTTTACCCTATTAAGCTTTGTCTTAGTTCCACCTTCCACACATGTGTAGATGGTATTATGGTTGAAATAGTTACATCATACTATTGCGTGCATTATTCCCGCAAAACACTAGGTCTTGTGGGAAAATGTTAAGATGTGCAGACTCCGCAGAGCAAAACTCCACGTCACCCAGTGAGAACATTGAAACACGAGTGAAAGTTGATAGTTGACCTTGCTCTACCAAATAGTAATAAACTGTTTGTGTAGAAAAAATATTATGATTTGAAACTTTTAATAAGTCTATGAATATATTAGGAATCCTTTAAGTATACTTGTATTTGCTGATCCTAAGTGGTAAATGAATTAATAGATGATTAATTTAAGAGATGGTTTTAGACACATAAAAACTAATTTCGACACAGCTTGGAAATTGGAATTAGACTCACACCGCTCATTCCAAGCTGTGTTGTATAATCATATCCCAAATCCAACACAGCTCACACAGGGCGTTGGAATTCTAACACAGGGTGTTGGAATTACAATTTTTAAGCACTGTCATAATTAGTCTCACAATATGCCACATTTAATCACACATGTTGGAATTCAGCAATTTTGTTGATTTGAATTCTGAAGGCTTTTAAATAAATATGGCAACACTTCGTGATGTTTCATCATTGCTGGCACTGTGTGCTGTTTTGAGAGTGACTTAAACCAATCAGAACTCGAGTTGCACATACGGTGATCTATTTCTAGCCATATTTATCTTGCAATCAAACAAGAGAATAGCTAAGACAGATGCCACTGGTCCACTAGTGAGTAGGTACTGAGTAACAAATTTAATATAATGAAAAGAAGTTTCCAAAATCATTTTAAAGGTAATTTTCTAAAAAAATTGATAGAAATAGTTTTTTTCTATTTTTCTGTAAAAAAAAATCATAAAAATGTGATGCCATATGAAAGAAAGAAATTGGCCAAATTTATAGGCATTTTTGTCTGATTTATGGGTGGCTTCTACCCAATTTTCCAGTTATAGTGAGACGAAAAAGCCTTTGACTGCAGACAGTTTTATATTTTCTATTGGTTGTTCCCAATTTCTTCAGTAAAATATGAGAAAATGTGACGCAATTTTGTCTGCCTTTTTCAACATTCACCTGTGGAAAGATCCTTTATTCTGGATATTTATGTCAAATGTATCTTATTATTATGTTCATTGAATTGTAAGTTGCAAGCCATACCAGTATGAGGTATATATTTAACTAAAGTGTTGTTTTTTACAGGTATCGTTACAATAATAATTTGTCAAAATGTCAGCTGCGGTAGTCACTCCTACGGAAGTAAAAGTAAAAGAAAAGTTTCCTCCTACATTAGAAAAAAACAATGGAATAATCAACAGTGAAGACAGGTCAGCATCTGACAGTAAGAAGAAGAAGAAAAATAAGAAGAAGACTGGTGGGTTGTATATCTCTAGAAATCTGTAGTAGAGTATATGGTAAATTATGTCAATGTGTCTTCCACTCTTCCCTGTCTCTCTTTGAGTCATGCCAATTTACTATGTGTTTATGTGCTCTTTTGAGAATGAGCACACTCAATGTGTTGATGTGCAAAAGTGTGCTCTTTTAAGTAAAGTATTCATAGCAAAAGTATTTTTTATTTAAAATTATGTTAAATTTTAACAATAATATATTGATTTTACATAGAGTCTGGCAAGGAATTTTGTTTAATTTCACAAATGTTGAGTAAATATATATAATGTGCTTTAAATTTGCTCATCAATTGAGTTTTAATGCAAACATTCCTCTTGGAGTTTAGAAATATCATATGTAGTAAAATGTGTCAATGTAATGTTGTTAGTCTAGAAAATAATTTGAACATTCATGCTCAGATGGTGGACAAGGCTCGGTGAATGTTCCTGATGGGGAGAATGACATTGACCAGATCCTGAAGGAGATCAACAGTGTGTCTGTGAGCAAGAAGTCATCTTCTGCCAAGTCTAAGCAGAATGCAGCCAATAAGAGTAAAGACTCAGCACCAGCAAACCCCGTGACTGCAACTGCTGTGGTGGCTGAGGGCCCACCAAAAAAGAAGAAGGCCAACAAGAATGAGAAGCTTGTTCAGACAGATCCTCCCTCTGTTCCTATAGTTGATCTCTTCCCTGCTGGTGTGTTTTTGTTTCTTCTCAATCAAAGCTATTGAACAACAACATTTTTCATCATAATCACATGTAAATTTAGTTACTGGAAACAACCTTGGCGATGGAAAAAGCATGAAAAAATATATATACTTTCCCAAATGTCAACTTTACATTGGCAAAGTCCTTCTATGATAAAATAGAGAAATAAATGTCTAGTTCAAAAGAGGTTAATTTTAAGCAGAAAATGTAACTGAGAATATTACTCTCATATTTTTATCATAGGAAATTTCCCTGTGGGAGAAACCTGCGAATATGTGGACTACAACACAGATGATCGCACAGCAAGCAATCGCATGACCAACCCTGAGAAAAAAGCTCTTGAGATCTCGTATGATGACATGTATCGTGACATCAGGATTGGGGCTGAAGTTCACAGAACTGTAAGTATTTTATCACCTCTTGTCATGCATATTGTGAGGCAAATTGATTTTTTGTGTCGAAACAATTTAGAACTGAAAAATAAATGAGACTTAGCCTTGAGACAATTGAAGAAGGTATTAATCAAGGCACCCTTGTACGGTACTTGTATTATTATGAACTTTAATTCACTTCTGAAGACTTCATCTCTTGCAGAATAAGGTACCAGCTTCTTATTTCTCATTTTTACATTGGAAGTTTGTTCAATTAGTGTTTTTATAAATTTTTTTTGCAGACCAGGCAGTACTTTCAGAAGTGGGTGAAGGCAGGCACGTCTTGCATGGACATCTGTGACACAATCGAGAATATGAACCGCAAACTCATCAAGGAGAATGGCCTCTCTGCTGGTCTTGCCTTCCCCACAGGTTACTCATAAGATTTGCTCTTCTAATTATCAACATGGGCATAAATTCTTTCTGATCTATAGCTCGAAATTGGGCATTACCTCAATAAATCTAGCTTCTTTGTTTGCCAATACCTACTTCTCAGCACACTTTCTTGATAGTGAACTAAAGTGTCGAGTAAGCAACGTTCATATTCAATGAAATGACGAATTCTAAGTCTCTCTTCAATTAGAAATTTTCGTGTCACTAGCCTTGAATATCTTTGATAAAAATGTGCAGGTTGTTCTCTGAACCACTGCGCGGCGCACTACACTCCCAATGCTGGTGACAAGACAGTCGTTGAATACTCGGACGTCTGCAAGATTGACTTTGGTGTGCACGTGAACGGTCGCGTCATTGACTGTGCTTTCACTCTCACCTTCGACAACAAGTACGACAAGTTGGTCGAGGCTGTGCGGGCAGCCACCAACACGGGCATCAAAGAGGCTGGCATTGATGCTAGACTCAATGAAATAGGAGCAGCTATTCAGGAGACCATGGAAAGTTATGAACTCGAACTCGACGGCAAGCTGTATCCCATCAAGCCCATCCGGAACCTCAATGGTCACTCCATTGCTCCTTACCGTTAGTGCTATAATTTTTGTGTTATCATTGAAGTATCGCTTGTTTGTCGCGATTCAAAGAATATTAACAGTACCGTAGATGTTTTGGAATATTTATTCTTGTAGTTTATTATTTTTGGTCATTCACGATGTTGATAGAAGAGAAAATCATTATCAGACAGAATACGTTTTTGTTAATTTTTTAATGTGTTCTAGGTATTTACTTAGTGAAGTGTTTAACATACCTTACGAATTAGCTCAATGTGTTTCCTAGTAGGATTTGATCAGTCAGAAAAATATCTGAAATGTTGGTGAAAGAGTGAGAGCTATTCACAAATATCTGGATAAAAAGTAACTGCATGAATGCTTATAAATAATTTGGTTGCTTACAGAAATCCACGCGGGCAAGACTGTGCCCATCGTGAAAGGCGGAGAGCGGGTGCTCATGGAAGAGAATGAAGTGTACGCCATCGAAACCTTCGGCTCCACGGGCAAGGGCATCGTTAAAGACGACATGGAATGCTCCCACTACATGAAGAACTTCGACGTTGGTCACGTGCCGCTCAGGTTCGTTGTTTTTTCTTGTAACTTTAAACAGGCTTTACTTGACTGCTAAATTCATTAAAGTCTTGGTATGTCGGAACATAAGGTGTAGAGTTTTATTCTTTCCCACTGCAAATTGTAAATTGAGTAGCTGAATAACAAATTGTTTCATTCATTTAAGTCACCAGCTAAAAACAGCTGACCAATTGATGTTAGTTTAACTAATAACGCCACTCACAGGTTGGCGAAGTCAAAGCAGCTGTTGTCCGTGATCAACAAGAACTTCGGCACCCTAGCCTTCTGCCGCCGCTGGGTGGACCGCGTCGGGGAGACCAAGTACCTTCTGGCCCTCAAGGACCTCTGTGACAAGGGTCTTGTGGAGGCCTACCCTCCTCTCTGCGACACCAAGGGCTGCTACACCGCTCAGTTCGAACACACTATTGTGCTGCGTCCCACCTGCAAGGAGGTTGTCACCAGGGGCTCTGATTATTAAAACACTATTTCTTATGAGATCGCGAACGATTTGTCGTAAATTAGGACGACGCTAAACAACCATAGTCACCATCTCATCAATTTCATTCTCAGCCAGGTTGCATTTGACTATTAACCCAATAATACCTTGAGCAACCGGTTGCACACGACTCCTCATTACAAGTTATTCTCATAACTTGCGCTGCGATGTAAAATAATTAATGTAAATTTGAAAGCGATTCTCCGATCTTTTGAAATTGAATGTCTTGAACTTGAACTACGCATGAATGCGGTTGTTGACTTTTACTCTACAAGCTGAACTAAAGCTAAAGTTTAGCGCGGCTAAACTTTTTAGTTACGGTATTATACCTCTGAGTAACTAGCACAGACTTGTTATATGCATAATTTGCTAGCTGGATTTAGTTTGAAATTACCATGTATAAATAAAGGTTAATGTGACCTTACCATGAAATGTAGATGGTAACCTCAATCTTAATCTGACTTCTGTCTCCCTGCATGTATTTATTAAGAGTTTTGAGCTATATGTGTTTCGAAAGAAATTAAATTTATTAACTCGAAGAAGTCGTGTAAGGGTTACAGTTTTCGATGAAAGATAGCACCGTTATCACAAAGTCTCTAACGAGGGTTGACTTTCTTCTTTTATTTCTAACGTGTGAGGCATCAACAGGCTGCTGCTAATCTCTGGACCGATTTGTGCTAATAGAAGTTTGAATAATTGACGCTTTTATTTAGACTTGATCATTTTTTTCGCCTACGCGGCTATTTAATGCGAATAGCATGGAAGAGGATTCAGGTATCTGTAGACAATGTTGATACTACTTTGAACTTATTATTGCCTTACTTGACTTTTCTGATGATATGGCCCTCTGTATTGCTTCACCCTACTAGTTTAGTGCGACTTGATTAAATGAAATTGATTTGTCTCTAACATGGGTTCATGATTGACTTTCACAGCAAGATATACATTAATAAATGGCCATTGTATCGTGTGCATATCACACCTTGCTTTTAAAGCGCTGACGATGTATCCTTGATACCAGTATTTGTATTTTGTGCGAGTTTGTTGTGTTGCCTATTAACCGAGACGAGGGCTACCCAATTCTCTATATTTGTGATTCGTATGATAAAATAAGACGCATAATGAACGCCATCGCATCTGTACAATGTGACAATATTTCGTAAACTATCATCTCAGAAGCAATTGGAAAATCTTCCAATTCTTGCTGTTAGAGCTGGACATTTTAATGCACGTATTCTTATGGATTGTTTGTTGATACGAATTTAGCCCAATCTATTGTGACGTGGGAACTTGGTAAAATTTTTGTCTAATGACACTTGAGTCGCTACGCTGCAGAAACTGTACTAGACTCACTGTTTGTTAATTGAAACTGCCTAACACTGGTCGTATAAAGTTTGATATGCACCATTATCACGTAACCATTTTGAAGTTTGTAGATGTACGAAGATTCGAATTTTTTTTAATCATGTTTTGCAATAGATGATGCTATTGGAGTCCGACTTTATATTACTATTATTAGTACTTGCATATTAGTAGCACTTGGGCGACTGAAATGTCAATGCAGAGCTGCTGCGTTATCAACTGTACAGACTACGACAGAATTTGTGTAACTGCTCAGTAACTCACGAGTTCTAATCATAAAACGTGCTAGAATTGAATAACAAACGCCCTGTCTTCGATCTATGAATTCTCTTTACAATAAAGGCGTGTGCTGCTTCATGGTCACGTCTCTTACTCTCCCTGTCTCCTGCTTACTCATTTAAATGCCTTAAACTTAATTGTTTTCCTCTTTTATCGTGAAAAAAAAAAAAACATAGCAATATCAGTGCCTCATACAAGAGGGGCCTCGACATTGGGAGCCAAATTCAGCTAATGCACTCGGATTAAAAGGATCCGCAATTGATTTGGTTCACTCTTCCCTATCCAGGACGGTCGAGTCGAAAACAAAATTTAAAAATTTAAATGACTGACAGGAATCGTTCATCGCCACCGCATACGAGACTGAGCTGTGCACTAGATCAGTAACGATTAAAACATTTTGTCCAAATCTTGATGCACTTTCTTACCCGCAGCGTGAGTAGAGAGCTGACGTCTTGCATATTAGTAGCACTTGGGCGACTGAAATGTCAATGCAGAGCTGCTGCGTTATCAACTGTACAGACTACGACAGAATTTGTGTAACTGCTCTTTAACTCACGAGTTCTAAGTATAAAACGTGCTAGAATTGAATAATAGACGCTGTCTTCGATCTAGGAATTCTCTTTACAATAAAGGCGTGTGCTGCTTCGTGATCAGGTGTATCACTCTCCCTGTCTCCTGCAGCCCTGCTTAATCATTTAAAATTTTAAATGCTTCAAACTTTAATTTTTTTTCTCTTTTATCTTGAAAAAGCCATAGCAATTTTAGCGCCTTGTACAAGAGTTCCTCGACATTGGGAGCCAAATTCAGCTAATGCACTTGGATTAAAATTAAGGAGTATTATAGGATAGATATTAAGAAGAACATGCAAGGAAAAGCACCCACATATTACATGAAGAACACGTACGATAAATGGCTCCCCAAGTGGCGTCTGCACCAAAGAAACAAGACGGCGGTGGGATCCGCAATTGATTTGGTTCACTCTTCCCTATCCAGGACGGTCGAGTCGAAAACAAAATCAAAAATTGGCTGACAGGAAGGAATCGTTTAACGCATACGCGACTGAGCTGTGCACTAGAAGAAATTTGTCCAAATAATGATGCACTTTTCTTACCTGCAGCGTGAGCAGATTAAAGACACCGCACTGATAAGAGGTGAGGATAACTCACGCAAGGTAGAATTCGCATCGTAAATAAGACAAAGTTTCATTTCTCTGAATGTGCGTTGTGCAGAAATAAAATAAATAAGTTGAATAAGATAAGATTTCTCGCTATTTTCGCTGACACGATAATCCTGATCACATCGTGTGATGGCATCGTGCAACCATCTTTTGAAAAATTTTATTCCGATAGTGGTTATTTGCGACTATGTTAGCCCAAATAAAAAATATTTTTAATTCTGTATGGCTTCGATAGAAGATATTTATGATCTGTAGCCCCAAGTAAAGAAATTTACTACTATTGCCCCGTTAAAAGAAATTTTTTCTTAGCCTCAATTGAGGATTTTTACAACTATAGCTCCGATAATGAAAATTTCCTTTTTTTCCTTGCCTCAATTAAGGATTTTACAACTATAGCTTGCGATTGTATATCTGTTAAAGGATATTAATGATATTTTTACCCCGATAAAGGATATTCCTCGAAAGAGCAGTTGCTTACCTAAAAACTTTACAAAAAATAAACAGGAAAATTGGGGCTTTTTCCGCAGGCCGGTACAGTGATTTCAAAAAAAAAAACCTTGCATGGAACTCGAACGATCAACATTCGGAAGGCACGTCAAGAAAATAAGGCAGTAGGCAACACAAGCGACAAAACTCGCTCGGAGGTTAGGGGTGCGCCTGGTGTTGCACACTGTTCCGTTCTGCCGCAATGTTGATCTATATTAGAATAGAAGTGTCGCCACTGAAGAAATATGCCCATGGGACGAGAATTAGGAATTACTTGGTCGATATCACAAGTTTTATTTCCGCCAATTCTCCAGCAACTTCTGGATTATTATGTGATCAGTGATCAGGAAAATATCATTCGAGAAGAATTTCGGCCGAAATATCTGTGAGATTTGCTGTTAAACTTTTATTATTGAGGGTTACGTGGTGCATATGACAATAACATCCTTCGAACCCGACAAGATTTGGAGTCCGTTTCTAGAATGTGATTAGCGGCGTCCGAACGTTGACAGTGATTTTATTGCTTTTACGTGCAATTTGAGTTTTGTTAATCAGTACACGTAAAAAAATGCACGGAATTGCAGTTTTTTTGCATTAAATCTTTTGCTATTATTGAATATTTTTCATCGATCCCGATATTAATCTTTGGGAATCGATCCTTGGAAATTATCCCGATATTTTACAAGCAAAGTTGCTATTTTCAAACCAGCCAGAAGCTTTCAATTTTTGTTCATTTATCTCTCTCTTTTTTGGATTGGGTGGATTTGATGCGTAGTGTTTTAATAAACATTCTTCGTGCGTCCTTGAGAGATAAGAACAAAGATTCATGCAATATAATATATATCCCCTTTATTAAGTAAATTTTTCTTATATTTTTGTGGCGCAGCTAATATGCATAACAGCCTCCACGGCGGGGCTTCCGCCCCCCGATGGGAGCATAAAAATGGACGACGCTTAGGCGAGCTGGTCGACCTCGAGAGGTCATCGCAGAGGGTCGCGAGAGGTCAACGAGTGCACACAAAATTAATTATATCAAATTTCCGAAAATTGTTCACTATGCCGAAGTAGTTTTTTGGGCTAATATCTTCCTACATGTTGTTAAGTTACTATTAACTTGACATTGTTCTTGGAATAAAGATGGCCTGACCTAATGATCTGGTCTGGTTAATTTCGGTGTTTTTGCATCAAGTTCCAGCCCATGCGCAACATTCACCGTTACTAAAGCAAAAATATTTTACTATAATTTTGCTGTAAATTTAGATAACTTTTTTCTTTAATCTATAATCAGATAATATTCACCTTAAATTGCTTTCAGCTTGAGGTGTTTGAGCTTAATAATAAATACCTGATAGTTGCGTACAACGAATCCTTTCTTCAAGTGATATCCACGCCATGCGATGATATTGTTTTTATACTGAGATTATGTATTGATTTTATTAAGATTTCCCGAGAAACATTTATTTTTAATTACCAATCTCTAATTGGTTGAGGATGGAAGATCAGCTCAAGTCTACAGTAGTAAAGTGAATGTAGCTTTAAAATTTGCCAGAATTTATAGCAAATATTATACACCATCACCGAACTTACACGTTAGAAATGCATCAAATTTCCAGTAAAATTGTTCGTCCACTTGCGCCATCTTTTTTAATAAAAACAGGCCATCAAATAAGCATAGACATTACAATGCTTTTCAAATTTATTCAGTCAAATTTACAAATTTATTCAGTCTATTACTGCACAACACCTCCCCCTCAAACGGAGGGGAAGGGGTTCTCATCAGGCCCCCACTGGGGTATATAAGACGCGCCAGGGCGCGGCGAGGGCAATCAGCCTCCGACGCCCGAGGGAAGACGTGAGCGAGAGACAGCATCTTGCACGGCAAGCCTTTGTTATCTATAATTTTAAAAATATTTATTTTTCATTATAATCTTTATATTGTATATCAAGTATCGTATTTTTTTATCATAAACGTGTTATAAAAATTTTTAAATTTGTACTGGGAAGTCGAAATTATCATTTTAAGATATTAACAAATTCGAGTTTTATTTCTGAACGTTATTTAACGTTTGAATTAGAACACATTTTTCAGACGTTTTCTGTTTAGTCATTTCATGATTTTCGATACATTTGAATATTGTTACCGACACATTATATACATATTTCATTGGTTATTTTTCAATCAATTTTCCTCTTTTCAGTCAATATACCTCTTTTCCATCAATATTTCTTCATTAATCTATACCTTTAGGAGGTGACATCATGCAGCACGACGCCCTACACCAGCCTGCTAAGGGCGCTCTGTTCCTGCCCCTGCTGCTGCTACTCCTACAGGAAGGTCTTGTCACAAGCGACGAGTGTCACCTCACTCCAGTCATCCATATTCTGTCCTATCCTGGCTGCATCTCTAAACCCATTCCTTCCTTCGCCTGTCAGGGACGATGCTCTTCTTACGTACAGGCAAGGAATATCAAAGGTCTGATCAACAATTGAATTTTATTTATAATGTTTGAAAAAAAATCATTTTTCTAGCACAAGGCCTAAGTTTCAAGCCAAGCAATGCCAAGTTCTCGAGTTTCACATTGAGCAGAGTGTGGCTACGCAGCATTAGTTGTCCTGACACTAAGCATCCACCTTTAGCCTTTTAGGTGTGGCAGAACAGCATTAATTGTTCCCACAATAAGCTCATCGTATTGACAAGTGTCGGGCAGCAAGGTGTGGCACAGCAGCATTAATTGTTCTCACAATAAGCTCATCGTATTGACAAGTGTCGGGCAGCAAGGTGTGGCAGAACAGCATTAATTGTTCCCACAATAAGCTCATCGTATTGACAAGTGTCGGGCAGCAAGGTGTGGCAGAACAGCATTAATTGTTCCCACAATAAGCTCATCGTATTGACAAGTGTCGGGCAGCAAGGTGTGGCAGAACAGCATTAATTGTTCCCACAATAAGCTCATCGTATTGACANGAAACATTCCCTTCTTGAAGTAAACTCCAGCACTACTCCCTCGGAAACATTCCCTTCTTGAAGTAAACTCCAGCGCTACTCCCTCGGAAACATTCCCTTCTTGAAGTAAACTCCAGCACTACTCCCTCGGGAACATTCCCTTCTTGAAGTATACTCCAGCACTACTCCCTCGGAAACATTCCCTTCTTGAAGTAAACTCCAGCACTACTCCCTCGGAAACATTCCCTTCTTGAAGTAAACTCCATCACTACTTCCCCGGAAACATTTCCTTCTTGAAGTAAACTCCATCACTACTCCCTCGGAAACATTCCCTTCTAGAAGTAAACTCCAGCGCTACTCCCTCGGAAACATTCCCTTCTTGAAGTAAACTCCAGCACTACTCCCTCGGAAACATTCCCTTCTTGAAGTAAACTAAACTCCAGCACTACTCCCTCGGAAACATTTCCTTCTTG